AGATCTTTATAGTTTTTTGTTTTAATTTTTAATTAGGCCTTTACAATTTTATTTGTTAGAACTTGATTTTTATACTTTTTTCCTGTTAAACCCGTTAATCCTTCCAGTCACTAAGCCGTTAAAATAATTTAACACTGTCAAGTCAAGGTTCCAGCACGTTCATCTTGTGGTAGCAGCTCCCGCAAGAACCCCATCTGCGTCTTCGCGCACTATGTTTCAGTTGCTTCTCATCACTTTCCGACCCATCTGCGTCTTCACCTACCAATGTGTGGCATATCGATCAGCTACTCAGAATCTTGGATGAATTTGTTGTTATCTTTTAATGTTCCTTGCGAACTCAACTGCAGTGAAGGCTACAAAGGACGACCATTTCATCGGAGGGCAACTCTGTTTGATTGTATCTGGATTTCATCATTATACCCATGGATTTGAGCGCCTGCCTGATAGAACTCACGATTAACCTTTACCACTTTATCTTATGAAATGGGCTTTTCTTTGTTTCCCTTTCATTTATGTTTTTGTCTTGTTCCCAAATGAATGTTATATTTTGGCTTAAGGTTGTCGTCTGTCTGCAGCTGCAACAGTCCATAAAAAATGGCAAACGCGGGTAGGAGACACAGCAAGTGAAAGCGCAAATGGGGTTCTTGCCGAGACTGCTACCGGGTTCAGTTTCGGCAGCTGATAAGTTAACCTAGACGGTTTAAATTTATTATTTTTATTTTTATATTCTATTATATATTTATTAAAATTTAAAATTTTAATAAATTTAATTTATCATTAATTTAAATAATACAAATTTAATCTAAATAATTTGATTTAATATTAATTTTTTAAGAAAAAAATTGTAAATTGACTATCAAATATACTTTGGACATAATTTGTTCAGAATACGTTTGGATAGTTGATTTATAAAAATAAAAAAATTAATATTAAATTATACCATTTACATTAAATCTGTTATGATAAAGTAAAATTTTTAAAATTTTAAAATATTTTATAATAAATATGAAATTAAATTAAAATAAATTTTATAAAATTTGAATCGTTCAGATTTTTAGATGTGGTGCTCATCAAAACTGAATCCGGCTTCTACCCAGAGGATCCAGATGCGTCCAAACCTTGACTTGACAGCGTTCTATCATTTTAATGGCTTGATAATAGGAAGGACTAACGGGTTTAAGATGTGAATATATAAAAATACAATTACAACAAATAAAACTATAAGTACCTTATTAAAAATTGGAAAAAACTATAAGAATTTACAGATTTATTTTCTTTTTTTCTCATGTCCAGACTATAGTGAAATTCTTTGAATACCCTTATACAGTAACTTAAATTTTAAAATGTTTGGTAATATTAATATTAAAAATTGTTGGAAAAATAAAAAGAGAAGTTCCAAAATATGAATGTAATTTCTATGAGAGAACACAACTTGCAAAATTATATCTATTGAGGAATAATCCGATTACCTATTGTTTGTTATATATAAACCTATTCAATTAAAAAAAAAAATCGTGTCGTAAATCAATACAAGCTAACTAAGGAAAAGGTGGAATTAGAATAGAGCAATAGGAAAATTGTCATATGGCCCATTTGTTTTATTTTATTTCATGAAAAAATTATTTATTTTTTTAAAAAAGCTATTTTATAAGTTTTTTATTGCATTTGTTTAAACTTTTAAAAATAATTAGAATTTAAAAAAATACATTTCTGATTATTTTAAGAAGCAAATCAAAGTAATCTAACATAACAGTTAAGAGAGAGAGTGTGTCTTAAAGAAATATGATATGTAAAGATATTATAAAATTTTAAAATAGTATAATAATAAATTATTTTATAAAACAAAAATGAAAATATATATCATAAAATTTAAAAATAATTAATTAATAATTATTTTTTAATGTTGAAATCAAACATAAACTAATGTCTGTTTTTTATAAAAAAAAACATAATGTCTATTTTTTATGAAATCTCTACAAAGTAGCACTTTTTTAAAATTTTACACTTCATAAAAATTACCTATTTCTTAATTTTAAATAAATGGGCCCTATGTCTCTTAAAATTTTAAAAATCATTTGTATCTTACACATTAAACTCGAAACTATGAATATTACCATATACATAGGTCAAAATCTGGTTCATAAAAAAATATTTTATATAAAAAAATTGATGTTATTTCATATTTGGTTATAATAATAAAAAGTAATTTTTATTTTATTATTTTAAATTTTATGATATTTCTGCAATTTTTATTTGTAAAAATAATTGATTATTTTTATTTAAAATTTATAATATTGTCATGTATTTTTGTATTTTTATAGCATTTTTACTTATCTATCATATCAGATTATTTTTAAAAATTATTAAAAATAGCCTCTTTTAAAATCATAAAAAAAAATTTACATTCTTATTATTTAGAAAATTTTAAGTAATCTTAAAAATAGATTGTTTATTAAAAATAAGTGATTTTTTAAGGGGAAAAAACTTAAACAAACATATCCTAGATCCAGGTGGGAATTTAACAACAGGTTTTTTTTTTTTTCTAACGTGATCATGTGATGGCACATCACATCATCGGATTTGCGATTGCAATTCTTGCAATTTAGTATTTTTTTTTTCAAATATGACAAATAATTAGATGAATCTAAAACCATTGATCGTGAAATATTGTGTTTATACGAACCTGTTAAAAGGACACTCATAACCATATCTAATTTAATGGTGCCACCACCGTGGTTCCGCTGCGGCCGCCACCAGTTACTGGCAATCATGGTAAGATAGTTTTTTTTTTTTTTTAAGTCAGGGGATTTTGATATACGTACTTAAAAAAAATTTTCAATTAAAATTTATGGAGTTTTAAGGTTTTTTTTTATTTCATGAAATTTCTTTCATAATCAAATTTTGTTTAAAAAATATTATATATAAGTTCCACACACAACGCATTTGAATATCACAAAGTCTATTAATTACTTTAAACAAATTATAATATATTTAATTGTTATTGTCAATGAACGGATTAAATTGTGTTGAGTGAATTTTTTGCGTGGTTTTTATATTTAATAATAAAATATTTCCTCTAATCTTATTTATAAATTATTTTTATAATATTATTTTTTTGTTTTTTTATCCCATACTATTTAAGAGTAGTTTTATTTTATTTAAAATAAAATATTACTAATTTATAAAGTAAAATATTTTATTTTTTTAAAATGTGATTTATAAAGTGAATAGGAGGAAGTACGTGTAAAACACTTTTGAAGATCTGAATTGAGATGTCTAAGATGTAGGACTATTTTGGATCTTTCTGGAAGTTGATGATTAGGGAGTTAGGGTTGTTTGGCACTCAATCATAAGATCCATAGATGTATCTATCGTTTGGTAGGAGCAAATATAAAACTCTGTTTTCTGTTTTCTGTTTTTTTTTTTTTTTCCCGGTTCGGTAAGAAAAGTGTGGGAATTTTTGCTTCAAATTAAACTTGTATTTTAGTTTAAAGCCTCTGTTCTTGCATCTTAACAGGTACATAAAATTAGGATTAGTTTTGATCATACTTTTAAAGAAAGTAATAAATACACCGATTAAACCTGCCCATAAAACTCACAAGCAAAGACATTTTGATTCTCAAGAGCATGTGTAATTGTATTTCCTCTTACTCCAGTCCTTTATGTAAGATAATTCTCAAAAATAAAAGCGATCGCAATTATAATATGTCTTACAAGAACTTGTAGCTTGAGAATGCATCACGAGTTTGCATAAACAACAAAGTGCCTCCTCGTCTCTTATTGGCTATATTTTTTATTATAATATTTATATTCCTTTTACTAGCAAGAGCATAATTAAAAAAATAATTTTTTAATAAAATAACATAATAGTTTCTCAATCTGTATTAAAAAATATATCAAACATCTCATATAATGACGCGGAGAGGGTAAATCATAAATATATGGCCGTGTCATAAAAAAAGAAAAAGATAAAGAAAATAAGGGAAAAAATGGTGCTTGGTTTTTTTTGTACTAGAAATGAAGTAGAAGTGGTAAAGCTTTGTAAATAGGAGGCTTTAAATTGATGAGATTAAAAAGAAGAAGAAGAAGAAGCTTTAAATTGAGACAAGGGGACGGAAATCTGGGACCTGGACCGGCGACAAGGATGATAGAAAGCCACGCGGGTAATTCTAGAACGTGCCATGGTGGGCACGGATGCTTGAAACTACCCATAATATGGACAAAGTATAACTCACGGGCACAACTTAAGCCCCCCTCCCTCACACTCACGAGACCCTCTTTCCTCTTCCCAACATCATCCTATTTCCCCAAATTACCCTCCATCTTATCATTTTCCTTCACCTCCCTCTCCTGCGTTTGGCCAACACTCCCCACAAATTTGCCTTCGTTGTTTCCAGAGTAAACCATCTTGTGTCTGAAAGCTAATGATTTTGACTAATCTAGATTGAATCGAGTTGAGATCCTTTTGAGCTGAAGTAGTTCTACTACAAAAAATAATTGCATTTTCAAGAATTGAATTCAAAACTTTCTAATTAAACTGACATACAACTTTTTCCGCTAAGTAATCTTTGCTTCAGATATTTTTAGTTTTACATTTGAAAATTGAAACCATTAAATCATTTTAATGAACATCAAATTAATCGCTTGCACTTCAATCCTCCATTCTGCGAGTGGGGCTACTTCTGTGACGCACCTTCACTATTCAACCTCATTTCCTTGCCTGTTGATCCAACAAATGCATCATCAGACTTTCAATATAATCTTATGATTTGCTGCCAATTTGTACTGTTTCAACGTGAGACAGGGCAAGCATGACAATAAATATGAGAAATTTTGTTTTTTCCACCCCATCCCATTAACTTTATTTTTATTTTTATTGCTTCAGCCAACCTAGCTTCCACGTTGATTTATTTTTCCAAAAAGATTATTAGCCCCATTCTTATTAAATTCCTAAACTTCATAGGCACCATTCTACTAGTATAAAAAGGAGGTTACAGAGCTCAACATTTAGTGCCAGTAAGACTTGCAGCGGCGAAACAGCAAGTGAACCTGCAAGTCTCGAAGACATGAAAGCCTATTTGGTTCTCTTCTTCATTCTCTCTGTCACCTTCACTTCCACCATCACTCTCTCAATAAATCCTTCTTCTTCTTCTTTATCAGACATTCAGAAAAAACCAGACAACCAGACCATATACAGAATCTCAAAGCAATTATGCTGGGGCTGCTTTGCAGAGTCAGTAGAATTCTTGTTCGCACACAACCTCGTGAGGGCATCGAAGTGGGAGTTTCCATTGATGTGGGACTTCGAGCTCGAGAGGTACGCGAGGTGGTGGGCGGGTCAGAGGAAGTCGGACTGCAAGCTGCAGCATTCGTTCCCGGAGGACGACTTCAAGCTCGGAGAGAACATTTACTGGGGAAGTGGGACATCGTGGACTCCGACGGACGCCGTGAGAGCATGGGCTGGCGAAGAGAAATATTACACTTATGTCACCAACACGTGCGAGCCTGGTCAGATGTGTGGCCATTATACTCAGATTGTGTGGAAGACGACAAGGAGGATTGGCTGTGCCAGGGTTGTTTGCGACGATGGAGATGTGTTCATGACTTGCAATTATGATCCACCTGGGAATTATATCGGTGAACGACCATACTGATAATAAGCTATATATAAGTAAGCTTTCGGGTTTGATTAGAGCGTTAATTAGCTGGTTTTATATGTTAGTGTGAACTAATTAGGATTGGGGTGTGCGTGAATTTGTAGGTATATCTATATATATACATATATACTTGTAGGTGGTGGAAAACGAGGGATTAATTTCGTCAATTAATTTGTGGTTTGAGAAAATAATAATTGAATGGAAGTAAAAGGGTGTGAATTAGCACTTGGTTATTTGATGGATTTTAGATGTGAGATTGAACTCTGTATTGAATGAGTCAAGTCCGTAATACAAGATTAAGATCCAGAGAACGCAAAATACTTAATTTCGAATATATATATTTTCTCCAGATATCTCACATTACATACTGAGTCTGAATTAAAGGTTGTCTTTATTTCTATAAAAGAGCCAGCACGATCCCAAACTAATATTTCATGAACAGAGATCGTTGTAAATCTCTTGTGTCCAAATTTCATTCTTATATTATTAATTTTTTTTAGCTTAATATAGATGCACAGTTTAAAATAAATATAACTTTTTTAAAAGATAGGTTTATTATTTAAAAAATATAAGTTAAAAATGAAAATAGACCCTTGAAATCATATTGGATGCAATCATTTGCATATATTTAAAAAATATAACGGGAAAACAACTAATAGAGCTGGGAATACCGGTGAATTTAGCCCTTAAAGGCCTGAGTTTTAAAACCCGATTCTTCATTTTAAGCTTCATTTCTCAAGCTCGATCTTATATGAAGGGCTCAAAGACAAGCTCGCAAGCCCTTTTTAAAAAATAAAAAAATTAAAATAAAATTAAATATTATAAATTAATTAAAATATTTTAAAATTAAAAAAATTAAAATTGTCATAATTTGTTAGAAATTAAACAACACACATTTAAAAGTCTAGTAATAAAATTTAAATCTTAATTAAAAAATGATTCATTTTTTATAAACACACAAACATAATAATTAAAGAAAAAATATCATAAATTTTATACTATACACTGATATTTATTAAATTATATTAAATTAATTTTATAATAAATTAAAGTGAATAATAATATAATGCGTGTAAGATCAGGTGAGCAGGTCACTGCTCGGACTCAAGCCTTTTTTTACAGAACTTATTAAAGTCAAGTTTTTAAACCTGATTACTTTAAAAAAATTATTTTTAAAATCTAAAATTTTTTTTAAATAAAATTTTTAAACCCGACTCTTCAAATTTAACCTTTACTCTCGACTCCAGTGATGAAAGAACCATGTGGCGGGAATCCTGTCCATTAATAGCATTTTTGGTTTTTTAATGTTTTGACGCAAATTTTTGTTTTTGTTTAGGTCTGCCAGTAACAATAAGCCAAGTTTTTTCTTTATTTTTTTGGTGGGGGAAGTTGGGCCTGAACGGGCCTATCTGTGTTTCTTTTTCTTACCAACAAACGGGCCTATCTGTGTTTAAAAATATTTGGTTAAATATTGGGTTACTTTTTATAGAATATCCATATTTTAAATTTCCTCATATATTTATATTAATATCATATCTTATATCAATACTCATTGATACTTTTTTCATATGTATCTGTAGAATATTGAAATATTATTTTAAAAATGTAGATACTTTTTTGAAAATATAGGAATATAATTTTTTGACATGTAAATCCTAAGCAGGAAATTTTTAAAAGAGACTAGGCAATATATATGTATGCTATTTTAACTATTTTTTAAATTTAAATTATATTTTTAATATTTTTTATTATTTTTGTGTGTATGGATGTATCCTATATTTTAAAAAATGAAAGTATTAAAGTGTCGAATATATTGATGCTTAATATTCGACATAAGCATCATTATCCGCGCACGATAAGTAATCTTTCTTTTCTTTCTTTCGTTTCCCCACAAAAAGTACCTGGATAGTTTTGAAGCTTTAGGGGTAAGAAAATATATAATTTCAATATTCGTTCAAAAATTATAAAGTTTTATTATGATAAACATAACTCCTTTAAGGTTATCGAAAAGATATAATCAAATAAAATTCTTATACGTTGATTTTTGTTATCATTAATATTTACTGCGACAACAATATCTCATACCAATGGTTATGAATTCTTGTTTTTTTATTGATTATTAATCATTCTAGTTAATAAAAAGTAACACAGAAAGAATTTCTCAAGACCAATCATACTTTTGTCAATTCGCACATGGCTCGGCTACAAACTTTTCAATTTTCATTTACAGACGGGCTGTATGGGGTCGGCTTTACAGAAATATGCAATTACCATCCTACCCATACGCCAGACGTTAGGCATATAAGTAATAAATGAAGCGTGATGAATTATTAAACACGAGGCTCATCGCTCATGTGATGTAATAATGGTGAAACAAGATATGAAAAGATTAAAATACACACACACATCCTCTGGTCCTATTTGAAATCTTATTCATTCGTTATTTTGCTATATTTATAAAAAAATTGTTAATATTTTTTTAATAATACTAATGGATATTGTCAAATAATTATAATGGAAAAGGAGTGTTTGAAAGAGGTAAGATAAGATAATTTTAAAGCGATCGACTAAAAATTTACGAAGAATTTGAAATCTTTCTATCAGCAATCAACTTTTTAATTTTTTCCTTTGCTGCTGCTGCTTGACCAATTCACTTCCACACGGAAAAGCTTCTCTGTGTCATCCCAGTTGGAGATTTCGATTTCAAATTCTAAACGAGGACTGTGTATTACTTAAAATTAAAGCTAATTGAAATAAAATGTATCAATTGATAATGATAAATTTTGAATGAAACTCGTGACCATGTTATATTTTCTGATTATAGTAGAATGCATGGCTGATTTAAGGGGCAAAATTAATTGGTAAAATTTTTGACCGAATTTTCACGAGGAAGCAAGCACATGGGCTCTAATTGAATGATATGGTGGATTTATTAGATTAGTTGGTAGGTGAGCTGACAGAAGCTATTCACTAACCAATGGCTATTTTGACTCCGAATGACTGGCTCCAAAAATTTGTACAGTATTATTTACTAAAAACAATTTATATTGTTTTTTTTTGTTAAAAAAAAAAGCCTCTCAAACTTGACATTGTCCTTGTTCATCCAAATTTATCCGGTCTAGTTGAGAGTTTGACGAGACCATTATAGTTTTAACCTCCCCAAAATCATTTGGCCTTTTGCTAGTTTAATTTGCTTTTCGTCATCTATTTTAGCTTATTTGATATTTTCCAATTTCGCTCTTCTTCGCTTTCACATAATTATTGAGCCAAGAGAATTGGAGTCCTGCACCCAACACAAATTAAAGAAGTCCAACTCCATCATGTCACAGATACAAGTTCCAGTTTTAGATAAATCAGATTCCATTTAGAAATGTTACTAGCTTTTACACTTCCAAATCAACCATACATAATTATATATAATTAATAACAAGACAAATATATAATATACAACTTAACTAGTAAACAAAGACCACATAAACCAGATCCAGCTCAGTGATTCAATGGAGAACTGAGCAAATATACTTGGATTTAGATCCACGTCATGAACAAACAGTTCAATCTTCAACGATACAGAAAGTATCTGGCTAACACATTATACATTTTCTATGTCTTTATTCCACTTCCGGAGATCGGGGACGGCGGCGGCGGCAAGAAAACCCAAACAAGTCATTGATCAGTAAGGTCTCTCTCCGATGTAGTTACCAGGAGGATCGTAGTTACAGGTCATGAACACGCCCTTCCCGCCATAGCAATTAATCTTAGCACACCCTACCCTTGTCGTCGTCTCCCACACCACCTGCGTATAATGCCCACACATCTGCCCCGCCGCGCATGAGTTTGACCCGTAATTGTAATACTTCTTCTCCGACACCCACGCCGCCGCTGCCTGAGCTGGCGACCACCCGGTGCCGCTGCCCCAGAATATGTTCTCGCCGTAGGGGCCGTTGGAGTGCTGGAGCGCGCAGTCGGAGCGCCTCTGGTTGGCGTACCACCGGGCGTAGCGAGCGAGCTTGGGGTCCCACACCAGCGGTCGCATTCTGAGAAGCGATCGAGCCGCATTCTGGGGACCCATGAACAGCTGCTTGGTTAGGCTGGGCCGTCTTTTCGGGCTGGGAATGGCCCGAGCGGGCGGCGAGCTGGCGAGGATGAGGAAGAAGACGATGGTGGCTGAGTAGGTGACAGGGTGTGTCATTGTGAAAAATTGGAGGGAGGGGCACCCTAGAGAGGGGGTTGGGAAATTATTATGAGAAGTGCTTTTACAGGCAAGCTTAAATCATGCATATATATAAGGTGGAACTGAGGATAGGTTTTTGGAGGATGGTAAGAAAAAGAGAGGAAAAGAAAAAAAAAAAAAAAAAAAAGGGAGGATATGTTTGGGAGTAATTGGGCACCTGAATTCAAACCTGTGAGGTGGCATGCATGTTCGATAATGATTGCCACATTTTTTTCTTTTGAGGGGCCCATCTCATGTACGGTTCACAGTTTTTTTGTTTGGACCCAAATCTACGGTTTACAGTTGAAGGGCATTTTAAAATTCATTGTTCGTTATCGTCACTATATTTCAACGAACTTGAACTGGCTCTGTCTCATCCGAAGATGACGTCTCTTAATTAAAAGTTAAATGTATTTAATGGATATATTTCATTATTTTATCTAATGTATATATAAATACTTATTCACTAATTGTTAAACAAATGTAAAGAAAATTAAATAGCCAAAAGTTGTGTTGGCTTGCCTTTGAGAGTTGAGTTCAGAACCTCACGCCTTTTAAGGATTTGTTAGGCATTTCAGAAAAAACAAATTCTCAAAAGAGTAACTTATATTAAGTGATTGTGTGGGTTCTTAATATCCTTTATCACAATTTTCGCATAGTAACAAGGAAACTCGAGAAACAATGGTATGTCAAATGACGCATGTGCAAGTTTATAGCTGATTCTCTGCCAAACGGAAATAAAAGTGAAGTTAAGACTACAAAGCTTAGCATATATGAGTACAGTGAGTTGGGTCGGCTGAAATTGAGTGAAGGTTAAGGTATTGAATCTTTACACTAGGCAAGTTAAATTGATTGAATTGATTGTATAAAGTATCAGGAGATCCTTAATTATGCACTCGTTGTCTATTTATAAAGGGTGATAGCAACTCACTTCTTCAATTTGCTTTCTAACACCTAAAGATAACAAGTAAATGCTTGTGCCATTAGGTTAGCTAATGGTGCACCCCTGGATAGGCATGCCGTCTTTCTCAAGTATAAGGATGAGTGGATGAAAACCGTTAGTAACTTACTATAACGTGGTGTCCCACCTAGCATATGTTAAAGCAGGTTGGCTAATTGATGGGCTTTCATCTCAAGG